TTAGGGCTTCACCTGAGGGGCTGCACACAACCCAACCTCAGCCCCTCTGAGGCCATTTTCCCATAATGCTCCAGTTCCCACCTTCAGAACTTAGCCATTCTGCTCCTTCCTGACTACAAAGTCATTTTGCTTCTGTTCGACCGGACAAGAGTTCCCTGCCTCTGGGACAGGTCTGGGCACAAAGACTCCACTCGCAAGCATAGGTCAGGGGGTTCCCTACCCACACCAGGTAGCGCTTCCTAGCATGAGAACCGGGTCCAGGTGAAAAGAGAAGCCACAGACTCCTCTTTAAAGGCTCAGCTGTAGGAGCAGGATACTACAAATGAAGAAACTGAGACCTGGAGGGTCAGTAAGCTACCAAGGTCTCCGATCAGGCAGGACAGAGCTCGTTCAGGCCCTCCTGGCCCTGGAGCTAGAGCCCTAGGCTGCACGGCTATGACTTAAGCTCAGCGCTGGGTTGTTCCATCCCAGAGAAGGTACACTCGGGCTGTCATACAAAGACACCTCCCCTCCTCCCAAAGGTCAATCGTGTTTCCCATTTTCCAGACAAACGGTTCGAGGACTTGCCTAAGAGATTCAAGGAACTGTGACTATAGTCCTGTCCATGGTGTGTGCAGAAAACAGGTGTGTGAGCCTGGGCAGAGGCTCATGCCTTTAATCCCAGCACTTGGGAGGCAGAGACAGGCGTAGCAGCCTGATCTACAGAGTGAGTTCCAGGACAGCCAGTGCTGTTACAAAGAGAAACCCTATCTTAGAAAAAAAGAATGGAAGGAAGGCAGGCAGGCAGGCAGGCAAACAGGTATGTGTAGGAGCTGGTTTCCTCATTAAATATTCTGGTCATAGACCAATATTCCACACCGTTTGTGTCCTAGGAGCTCAGAGACCTAACACGGGACATAGTTGTGGCGGGATGCCTCTGTGATGGGAAGCCAGACTGATGTAGAAAGTAAGTGTAAGAGGAAGACATATGGAAGGACAGACACCCTGCAGAGGCGGCTTCTCCCCAAAAGGGAGAGCAGAAAGCGCCCTGGGAGGGACTCACTCTTATACAGCATGTGCCCTCCCGCAAGGAGCTCACACAGAAGCCCTGGGACTCACTCCAGACCCTAGCTGCCCTGGGGAACCAAAGCAATGCCCAACACCTCTTCAAGCCTCAGTTTGCCAAAAGAGCCTCCTGGAAGCACATGGTGATCCTGGAAAAGTTCTTTGCGGTAAGTGTCACGTGCTGAGTACCTGTGAGTGCCCAGCCCTAGCACCCAAGTCCATGGACAATCTCACAACCCCTCCACCAGAGTCAGGCTGGGAGAAAAGGGAAAGCTTGCATAACCCGCCCATTATCTCCTCTGACCTTTGCTCCAGGCTGGCAGGCTTAGGAATGGCAGCCTTATTAATAGAGCCCTGAGGCCTCCTGGAAAAAAGACCTATTCACCACCAGCCTGCTCTGTCTTTTTTTAAGGGCCCAGACCACCCCCTACTCCACCCTCCACAAACCAACAAAAACACAAACCAGAGATCAAACCCTTGCTCATTCTGAGTGGCTCAAAATTTCAACCCAAACACGAAAAGATAAATGGCACTCACTCACAGGCTTGCTGGAGAGGCTCAGTTAGCCGCAGGGGAGTGGGGAATGGAGGGGGTGGGGGCGGTGAAGGGCATACCCAAGGACAGGGGATAGATGGGGGGGCTAGAAGGATGGGAGGGGAGGAAAAAACTGACTGAAAAGACTTTTCTGGTGTGTGTGCTGCTGTCAATGGAGTCTCATATCGTGTTGAGCAAATGCTCTACCCCTGAGCTACACCCTAGAGGGAAAATGTTTTTGTCTGAAAATTACCTCACTTGGGAAAAGAAAAGGGGGCTGGACTTTTGGCATTTAACAGCCAGCAGGACTAGATTAGAATGACAGCAAGGGCATCCTAAACCTGACTTTTATTAGCCAGTCAGGACCCAGCCTCTCAAAAGCAGGGCCCAGCGCCTGCCCAGTGCCTGCCTGTTTGCACATGGATTCAGAGACTGGCCAAGCCCACCTCAGCCAGGGCTGGCTGGAATACAGATGGCCACCTCCACCACTGCCACTGTCCTTCCAGGACATGCTACAGGGATGTGGGCATAGCAGCACTGGTCCCCGAGAGAGGGCTACGGGACCTCGGTTCCCCTCGCTCTGCAGCAGGTGCAGTCACACACACCACACACAGCTCAGATGCGGAGAACCACGAGCAGTCTCAAAGGCAAGCAGAGTTCGTAAGAGAAGCCAAACTGTGCTGGCAGGTCTCCCCCGTGGACTCCTGCAACCACTGCTGGGACCATGGTGAACAGGTGCTAACCTCACTGACCATTCTGGAGTAAAGGGCTCTGTGGGCTCTCCTCCACCTTCCAGAAAGACAGGGAGGCAAAATTAAACAAGTTGCCCAAGATACATGAGGGCATCAGAATGTCCAGACCCTGTGTATAATTTGGGTTATCAATGGACCACTCAGTGGTTACTGATAAGGAAACAGCACTTCCCAGAATGGGAGAGAAGAGGCACAGTCAGGTCAGGAATCGAGAACAGGGAGGCATCCATGTTACCTAACTAACAGGAAAGCAAAAAACGACAACCACAGCTGGGCGTTGGTGGCGCACGCCTTTAATCCCAGCACTCGGGAGGCAGAGGCAGGCGGATCTCTGTGAGTTCGAGACCAGCCTGGACTACCAAGCGAGTTCCAGGACAGGCTCCAAAGCCACAGAGAAACCCTGTCTCGAAAAACCAAAAAAAAAAAAAAAAAAAAAAACCACAACCACAAGAGCCCCAAGTCATTCTTGGCAGAAACACCAATGGCCCTGGTAGAAGTCCCATCACAAGGCCGGGGTCCTCTCTGTGCCTCCCCTTGCATATCTATAAAACGGGGCAGATGCAAGCTGCCTAGGACTCCTGTGGCTGCACGTCAAGCCCAGGCCCTAAGCCCTGGTGACTCTACTCTGGCCACCACCAGGGCTCTCTTTATCTCTCTCTCAGCTCAACCCTGCTCTTCAAAGCCAATGTCAGACTAAGGTCCTTGAACAGAGAAGCCCAGTTTTCCTTGTTTCCTGGAACTCTGTGCACAGTAGAGGGAGGATATATCTCATGGTCACCCACTGACTTCAAGAGACAAAGCTAAAAAGAACAATCCCGTGTGTAACTGAAATTTGTAATACCAATACTGAGTTTTCATTTCCCTGCCAAAGCAAGACTTGGCTACTACAAAAATCTGCAGCAATTTTGCTGCAAGGAGATTTGGGGATGGGGGGTGGGGAGGGGGGTCTGTAGGAAACAGGACACTTCTACCCCTACCCATCCCCAGTGGGGTGGAAAACCTCCAGCCTGGCCAGGTCCTTAACTGCTGCATTATTCACTACTGCAACTGGGACTCTGGGCCAGACCCACATCTCCTTGCACAAAACATGACCCTCTGCAAAGAGGTGGGGACAGCACAGCAGTGTAGTGTCCTGGAGAATCACCCTAGCCAAGCGCTGCTGATGACATAGCTGAAAACCAGCCACAGTCTTCCCTTCCTTTACAATGCACTTGGGGAAATCAAGACCCGGAACACTGACCCTCCCAGAGATGCATGCACTGTAAAGAGGGGTGCGCCGTGGAATTAAGCTGGAACTCTGCAGGTGGAGCTTGACTGAGTAGCTGTAGGGGAGGACCTTGTGGACACAGTGTTACAAAAAGAAACCAAGTTGCAGTGGTAGATTGCTAATCAGGAACAAAGTATCCGTCTAACCCCAATCCTTTCCTGAATTCACAGGCTCTGCAGAGTAAATAAGGAGGAAACCTCCGCCTGTCCTGCATCCGGACTGCAGCTCCTACCTGTTCCCACCCCAATATGCCTGCGGAGGGTTTGGCCAGGAAACTAAAGAAAAAGCTTGGTCCTCTCAGCTCTAGCTGTCAGTTTGGGGAAGGGCTCTTCTAAGCCTTGACCGTGTATGGACAGAGAAAGGCTTTCAGGAGAACAGAAGGGGCAGGTTATTCTCCGCCACCAGGCAAACCACTCTGGCAGAAGCAGGTGCCACCAACACTGGCAACCAGGCTTCCAAACACTATGGGGAAGCAGGGAAGTACAGCATCTGGCAGTCGGGAGAGGAGGAAAAGCTCCAGGGCAGACAGAGCCACTGAAGGGACGCACAGCAGGCCACTGTGGTGGTGACACCCTCGGCACAGGCAGAGCTGACCTCCCACCTACACAGACTCTGGCCGGCCACAGGTGACCCCAGCACTTCCTGGAAGGCGATCAAGCTTACCAATCAGGGACACTATCGATCTCCGCTTCACACCCACCTGGGGGGAGGCAGGGGTCAGCCTCTCCGCCTCATAAGCAAGGAAGAAAGGAAACCGAGGCACACAGAGAAGTCAGAATTCATTGCAACTATATCCTCTGGGGAATATAGAGACCAAGTTGAGAAAGGTGTCCCAACCAGTAGTGCAGGATTTATGGGAAGCCAGGAAGCCTCTCATCTTAGCCCAGAGCGCTCTGGCCCAGCTGCCTCAAGGTCTCTCCACCAGTGCCAGTGGGCCAGGCCAGCCCAGCCCAGCCCAGCCCAGCCCAGGAGGAAACAGGGTTGCGAGGAAGCAGAGGAGGAAACCGTGCTGGAAAGAAGCACAAACCTAGAGCGCAGTTGTGGACGCTGACGGGGCTTGGGGAATATCTGTGGCTCCCAACCAGAACGGAATAACTTGCTTTATCTCAGAGGCCTTTCATAGTCTTCCCAGAAAAACTTCCCTCTGCCCACAAGTGTTTTCAGGGTGGGATGAGAGACACCCTAGACAGCACCGGTGTGGCAGACACTGACACAAAGCTGTGGGTGAGAAACTTCTCGGCGGTATCAGCCAGGCAGGGACACCACCACGCGGAATGCTCCATTTGCTATGCCAGCTGCGGAGGGGTCTGGAGGTGCGACCCCCACCATCCTGAACCCGTGAGGTGTTCAGGAACTACCGTTTCACAACACCCCTAGGCTTCCCATCCGGGCGCGGTGCTTACCGTGCAGGCCGTTAGGGATGCTTCGATGGTGCGGCGGCGCCGACAGGTCATCCAGGGACCGGCGCGTGGCTCCGGCCTTGCCGTCTGGACCCTTGTGCGGTCCGGGGGGCAGCAGCGCCGGTGGGACGTGGTGGTGGTGGTCCGGGCTGCCGCCGCTGCCCGCACTGGACGTACTGCTGCCGTCGCCAACGTCGCGGGTCCCCGAGCCCGCCGCGCTGCCCGCCAGCGGCCCGCTCAGGCTAGCCTGGCTGTCTATGGAGCTGCGGGAACCCGCGCCGCCGCCGCTGCCACTAGCGCCCCCCGCCGCCGCTAGCGCCGCGCGCTCCTCATCCAGCAACAGCACCAGCTCCTTCAGCTCCAGGTTCTCGCGAAGCAGGGCCTCCTGGCGCGTCTCGAGCTCCCGCAGCTTCTGCTGCGAGCGGGCCACCTCGTGCCACACAGCGCCGGCCGCGTGGCGCCCAAAGCGCTGCCACTCGCGCGCCAGCTTGCGCCCCTTCTGCCGGTCGTCGTCCAGGAAACAGCAGAGCTCGCGCAGCTCCTGATTGTCGTCCTGCAGCCGCTGGTTCACGTCCTTGAGGCCGCGGATCTCCAGCAGGTGCTGCTGCAGCCGCCGGTTCACGTCGCGCATCAGGCTGCCGTGCTCCAGCATGAGGCCCACCTTCTCGCCCTCGGCGCGCCGCAGCCGCCGCGCCAGCTCCTCCTTGCTCCAGCGCAGCAGTTCTTCGTCCGGCACCTGGCTCAGCTCCTCCGACGCCGCCGCTGCAGCCGCCGCCGCCACCGCCGGGGGCTTCGCCATGGCGAGGCCGTCACCGCGGCATCGCCCTCGCCCGCGCCGGGCCGGCGCTCCCAGCGCTGGGGCTTCTCTGGGCCCGGCCACGCGCGCGCGGGGGGCGGCCTGGGATGCGTGCGGCCCACCCCGCGCCGCCTCGCGCTCTCTCCCGCGGCCCCCCTCTCGGGTCACCCGGGAGCCCGCGCGCGCCTCAGCGTTCGGGAACGGGGACAGTGGCTGTGTCGGTGGCCGCGGTGCCCGGGCTCTCCCGGCTCGGGCGCAGCAGGCGGAGGCCCGCCCCCGGCCCGGCTCCCGGAGCTCCAGCCGCCCCGCCCACCCCGGGCGGAGAGGGGGCGGGGCGCCGTAGTCGGGCCCCGCCTCCGAGAAGGAGGTGAGCCGAGGCACGGCCGGCCCCCGAGGTTTCCCCTACGCGGTGCGACGGCCCGCCGGGCGCCCTGCCAGAGGCGCGTTCGAGCCGTGGTCCCGCCCTCCCGCCGGTCTGATTGGTTCGCTCCGGGGGTGTGCGGGAGGGGCGGGGCGCGCGCGGGGGCTGCCGCAAAGATGGTCTCGTCCAACCGTGGGGCCAGGCGCCCTCCTCCCCCCGGTTCAAGTTTCTGCGCCCGGAGGACGCGGCCTGGGCCAATCCCAGGACTACAAGGCGGTTTTAAAATGCAGGTAGGGCTGGGGGGTGGCGGGGACCGGTGGGAAAGGTAGGGCAGGGCTTCCCTTAAAGGAGACGCGCGAAAATGCGCGTCCCCCTAACGGGCCCGCGTCCCCGACCCTCCCTTTCTCATTATTAATAAACAAATGCCCACCGGGTGGGTTCAGCTCCCTTCCTCGCTCCCGGGACCACCAGAGTTCGGTGCAGTCCCAGAGAGGAGGAACAATAGGACCCTGACGTAGGGGGTCGGGCAGAGCTGCTCTTTGTCCCTTTCCGAGCCACCGACCTCCTCCACCCTCGATCTCCACCTGGGTCTCCTGCCTAAACTCGCAGAAAGGCTGTCTTTCCACTCCTAGCTCAGAACTGTAGAGCCTTTCCAGTCTTATCTCGGGACCAGATGTCTCGATGAGGCGAAAGGCGGCCGGGGACCTGCCCATTTCCTGGAGCCTTGCCCCTCCGCACACTCAACCGCTAAATCCCCGGGATTGGAGGAACGTCTTTGGTTCGCTAGGTGGAAACCCCTGGGAAAGGCCAAGGAAGGTCTTCCACCCTGGCCATAAAGCTGGGGTCCAGAGGCGCACAGCGACGGGAGAGCCTTGCCCCGCCCCGCATCGTTGCGGGACGTTGGGATCTTCCTACAGCCTGTAAATCCGGTCCCTAAAGCGCGCGTTTACGGCGCTGCTGCAGTGAGCAGGCCGAGGGGAGGGTGCGTTTCCCCTGGACCTTCAAGGAGATAACCCACCCCGGGCGCACGCACATCGGGGTAAGCTACCCAGGGCCCGGAGCGCGTGCCCGCGCAGCAGCTGACGTCCCCTTTTACAGTTACTCAGCCGTTGACGGAACCCACTGCGTGTGCCCTCTCACACCTCCCCCTGCGCGGGGGAATTCTACCCGGACAAGACTTCTGAGGCCACTGCCCTCTGAGGGTACTTGGCATTCTTGGGAGGAGTTTAGCGTGAGAAGATACCGTGGGGGCTGTCTGCAGAGCTACGCAGGGAAATCAGTTGCCTTAGATCTTGTTTTTCTGGGAGGGGCTAGGACGCAGGAGCTTGGATCTGAGCCGCAGCAACAAGGACAAAGGTAATGGGGGGAGGCTGTGCAGGTGGAGGGAGCAGCTAGCGGAGTGGCATTAGGGCTTGGCCTCTTAGTGGCCGGCTCAAAAGGGAGGAGGGGCGGGTGAGATGGCTCCTCAGGTAGAAGCCTGATGCCTAGCCTGACCACCTGAATGGATTCCCAGGACCCACGTGATGGAAGGAGAGACCCTATTCCCTCAAGTTGTCCTGTGTCCCCCCCCCCATACGTGGGCCATAGCATGCATAAACCTTCACACAACAAATAAATGTAATAATATTTTTTAAAAAGGGGGGGAGCCGTGGGTGACTCAAGTCACTAATCCTAGAACTTGAAGGTAGAGGCAGAAGTAAGGGGAATCTCTGTGAATTCCAGGCCAGCCTGGACTACAAAGTGAGATTCTGTCTCAGCAGAAAAAAAGATGAGTCATGAGGTGTGAGGTCAAAGGGCAGGCCCTGGTGTGACCTGAAGCAGGAGAGCTGTCTTGGATCACCCTAAGAGACTGTGGTTCTTGGGGCCAAGGATTGGGCTAGATTCGTTACTCTCACCCCACTCCCTCGTCGTAGAGGAGCTGGAGAAAGGGCTGGGGAGAAGAGCCCTGGAGTGCTGAGGCCAGTATGCCTGAGTCCGCTGTAGAGAGCTTCCATGTTGGGCAGGTCCAGCCCAGCACAGTGTGGGTTTAAAAAGGAGGGGACTTAAAACAGTTTGTGCCTGGGGAAGCTGCAGATCTGTTTTCACCCCCAGGAAGCAAAGACTATGTTGGGGAGTTGCTCCAGGGAGAAACTGGGGGGAGGGGGATGAGCAGAGATCACACCAAGGGGGACACTTCCGATCACCAGGGAAATTGCTGAGACAACTCAATTTGTCCTCACTTTGTGGAAGCCTTTTGTCTCCCAGTGGTGGTCCTATGGCCTACGGTCTCTGTCTTCTGATTCTCCAGGGTAACAGGTAACAGCTTCAGTTGAGGGGAAAAAAAAAAGGAAACCTTTATCCCAGCAGCGGTTCAGATCATCTACACACTGCCAGCTGGAAAGCCTTCCTTCAGGACCATGACAAGCTCCTGCCTGGGAGGGCTCTGGGGGAAGGTGCTAGCGTGGGTGTTGCTTGGGTGGTGTAAAAGGCTCGCGACTCCCCATTGCTTCACACGCTTGGTGAGAAGAGGACTGAGCAAGCGCCCCAAAGCAAGAGGAGATCTCTAGGACAAATGTACTGTGTCCTCTAGAACACCGGTACAGGACATAGCAAGTTCGAGGCCAGCCAGGGCTACACATGAGATCCTATCTGAAAACAGCAGTCCCACACACACTGCTAGGGAAAGGGGCTCTTTCTTTTTCCTCCCCAACCCTGCAGCCCTAAGATGAGACTCCAGCTTTGGCAACCCTTCAGTGCATGACCCACTGAGTTCGAGGCCCTTGTTTTAAAGGGAGGGAACTGAGCCCCAGAAAGGAAGTATTTTGCTCCAGGTCATTTTCATTCACTGGTTTACCAAACACCATATACATGCTCCGATACATAAGTACCACCACTGCGTGAAGCCAAAGTGCCACTCTTAGAGCTTCTTGGGGACCCTGAGACGTTTCCCTGGGAAGTGGAATCCTGAAAGCTGAGGGGTGATTGGCAGAGATGGGAGGGTGGGCACCAAGTGGATAAAAGCAGCAGGAGCAGAGGCCAGGATGAGCCATGGAAGAGCCTGGGCATAGAGAGAAGAGCCCGGGCATGGAGAGAGGAGCCCGGGCATGGAGAGATGGGGGAGGTCACAGCAGAGGGAAGGAGGTATAAGAGGGAGTGGCCCCGCCCCACATCTCTGAGGGAATGTCTACTGGCCAGCCCAGCTGCGAGAGAACATAGCAGTGGCTTTTGGGTTCAGAGGGCAGTGTTCCACTGCAGGGTTTGTGTGGGTGCTAAGTTGGGGCTCCAAACGCAGCCTTTGAGTCCTGCTATGTGTATCTCTCTGGCAGCTGGCAGCTGCTCCTACCACCCAGCCCTGCAGCTTCCAGATGGTTTGCATGTCAGGCCTCGGGTGCTACCTCGAGCCCCAAATGGACAACTAGCAGTCCAACACACAGACACACTGCTGAGATCTGAGACCCAGCTCCTCCCGGGTCTGAATATTTCATGGTAAGGGTGGAATGGAAGTGGCAAAGACCTTAATTGTTAATGGAGCTTCTGCCGGCTCTAGGCCCCACCCCCCTCCTCCCACCCCTTCTGTTTGAAATAGCAGCAGTGAGTGGATCTCCATACCTCCTCTGGCACCCCAGGTCTTATGTCCTGCTCTGTGTGAGACTGGGCTGGAAAGAAATCGACCCTTGACCCCCAGCTGGTCAGAGAGCATAGGGTCCAGTGCTTGCTACGAGTTCTCACTCAGCGGAGGACCTGGGAACCAGGTTGGAAGGAAAGCACAATGGCCTTAGGAGTCTGTGTCTCTGGCCTCACACCACAGAGTGGTCCTGTGCACTCACAGACACACCTTGTCCCCTGCACTTCTTTTTTTTTTTTTTTTTTTTTTTTTTTTGGTTTTATGAGACAGGGTAGGGTTTCTCTGTATTGTTTTGGAGGCTGTCGGTCCAGCCTGGCCTCAAACTCACAGAGATCCGCCTGCCTCTGCCTCCCGAGTGCTGGGATTAAAGGCGTGCGCCACCACCACCCGGCATCTCCTGCACTTCTTAACCTGTACCTAGGCTCTGGATCATCTCTTCCAGAGTGGGAGACTCTGGAAGCATACATGAAGGGATATGCCAGCCCTAAGCCGTCCCATGAGACAGGCCTACAAATGGGGTGGGGCAGAGGGAGAGCAGACTGGTGAATGTTGCAGAGCCTGAACTAGAAAACCCATGACCTGCCCAACAGAGACAACACTGGGACCACGATGTAATGAAACACTCCATCTTGGCATCCCATGTGCCCGGAGGAACCTGTGTCAGCAATTCAGGGTCCCAAGGCAGCAAGGTGACAGGTCAGCCCCGAAAAAGCTCATGAAACGCAGCCCCCAAACCCCTGCCCCAGACCAATGCCACTTGAATACCTGGGAATAATTCCAGTATGGAGAGCTAGGATGCTCTGGCCAGGCATGTTCCCTAGCATCAGGCCAAGCTAAAAGACACACCCATGTGCACGGGACAAGCCCTCCCTAAGTGGCTGGCTTTAGAACGGTTCTCAACCTGAACGACCCTTTCACTGGTCACCTAACACCATCAGAAAACAGATTTACATCATGATTGACAACAGTAGCAAAATTACAGTGATGAAGTAACAATGAAAATAACTATAATTGGGGGTCACCACAAGAGGAACTGTGTTAAAGGGTCACAGCGTTGGGAAAGTTGAGAGCTGGGCCTTCACCTAAAGAGGTTCAGATTGCCTCAAGTGGTCCTCATATATGCCGCCTAGGATGCAAATATCTAGTGACGGGAGAGACTAGAGTTGGTAGTGTTGGATGCTGCCTTTATCACATTCCCTTATTCTGTGCTCCATGGCACAGAAGGGAGGAGGCACCTTGGGCATATTGCAGAATTCCAGAGCATTAAGGTCCCGGAAATGGGGAGGGGGAAATGGAAAACGGGGAGAAGCACAAAGGTCCAGAGTCGGAATGACAGATCTC